CATTCAAGTTTCTTTTTTTTTTTCTTTTTTTTTTTGAGACAGAGTCTCACTTTATTGCCCAGGCTGGAGTGAGTGCCGTGGCGTTAGCCTAGCTCACGGCAACCTCAATCTCCTGGGCTCAAGCAGTCCTCCTGCCGCAGCCTCCCGAGTAGCTGGGACTATAGGCATGAGCCACCATGCCTGGCTAACTTTTTCTGTATATTTTAGCTGGCCAATTAATTTCTTTCTATTTTATAGTAGAGACGGGGTCTCACTCTTGCTCAGGCTGGTTTCGAACTCCTGACCTCGAGCAATCTGCCTGCCTTGGCCTCCCAGAGTGCTAGGATTACAAGCTTGAGCCACCACAGCCGGCCAACACATTCAAGTTTTTTAATTGGTTAAGAAAAAAAATCATTCCTTTTTCCTTTTTTTTTTTTTAATTATTATTATTTTTTATTTCGGATATTATGGGGTACAGATTTAAGGTTTCAAATAAATGCCCTTCCCTCCTCCCCCCCACAAGTCTGAGTTTCCAGCATGACCATCCCCCAGATGGTGCACATCTCACTCATTATATATGTATATACCTGCCCCCTCCCCTCCCACCTGCCAATACCCTATCTGTAGACCTATGTGTCCACTTAGGTGCTACTCAGTTAATACCAGTTTGCTGGTGAATATATGTGGTGCTTGTTTTTCCATTCTTGGGATACTTCACTTAGTAGTATGGGTTCCAGCTCTAACCAGGAAAATATAAGATGTGCTATATCACCGTTGTTTATTAGAGCTGAATAGTACTCCATGGTACATATACCACATTTTATTAATCCATTCTTGGATTGATGGACACTTGGGCTGTTTCCACAGCCTTGCAATTATGAATTGTGCTGCTATAAACATTCGAGTGCAGATGTCTTTTTTGTAGAGTGTCCTTGGATCTTTTGGGTAGATGCCCAGCAATGGGATTGCTGGATCAAATGGTAGATTCACTTGTATCGCTTTAAGGTATCTCCATATTGCTTTCTACAGAGGTTGAACTAGTTTGCAGTCCCACCAGCAGTGTAGGAGTGTTCCTCTCTCTCCGCATCCACGCCAGCATTTGTTATTTGGAGACTTTTTGATAAAGGCCATTTTCACTGGGGTTAAGTGATATCTCATTGTGGTTTTGATTTGCATTTCCCTGATGATTAGAGATGAGGAGCATTTTTTCATATGTTTGTTGGCCATTCTTCTGTCTTCTTTAGAGTAGTTTCTGTTTAAGTCCTTTGGTCACTTTTTAATAGGGTTATTTGATTTTTTCTTGCCGATTTTCGTGAGTTCTAAGTATATTCTAGTTATCAGCCCTTTATCGGATACGTAGGATGCAAAAATTTTCTCCCATTCTGTAGGTTGTCTGTTTACTTCATAACTGTTTTTGGCTTGCAGAAGCTTTTTAGTTTCATCATGTCCCATTTATTTATTTTTGTTGCTGCTTTGATTGCCTTTGGGGACTTCTTCATAAACTCTTTGCCTAGGCCGATGTCTAGGAGAGTGTTTCCAACATTTTCCTCTAGAATTCTAATAGTTTCATACCTTAGGTTTACCTTTTTTCTTTTTAAAAACAGCTTTATTGGGATATAATTCATATACCACACATAATTCACCCATTTAAATTGTACAATTAAGTGGTTTTTAGTATTCACAGTTACATGCAACCATCGCCATAATCAATTTTAGAACAGTTTCATCATCTCTAAAAGAAATCTTGTGCCTTTTAGCTATTATCCCCTGCCCCTCAGTACCTGCCTCCCACCCCAGCCCTTGGCAACCACTAATCCACTTTCTATCTCTAGATCTCCCTGTTTTGGACATCTCCTGTGAGTGGAATCAATATAATATGTGGTCCTGTGTGATTATCTTCTTTCACTTAGCATAATGTTTTTTAAGGTTTTGTTGTAGCATGTGTCAGTACTCATTCTTTTTTATTAAAATTGTGGAAAAATAGTCTGGACACAGTGGCTCATGCCTGTAATCCTAGCACTCTGGGAGGCCAAGGCGGGTGGATCATTTGAGGTCAGGAGTTTGAGACAAGCCTGAGCAAGAGTGAGTCCTTGTCTCTGCTAAAAATAAAACAGAAAAGAAAAGAAAAGAAACTAGCTGGACAACTAAAAATATAGAGAAAAAAATTAGCTGGACATGGTGATGCATGCCTGTAGTCCCTGCTGTTTGGGAGGCTGAGGCAGAAGGATTGTTTGAGCCCAGGAGTTTGAGGTTTTCGTCAGCTAGGCTGATGCCATGGCACTCTAGCCCAGACAACAGAGTGAGACTCTGTCTCAAAAAAGAAAAAGAAAAATAAATCAAAATTGTGCAAAAATAAGCAGCATAGAATTTACTATTGTAACCATTTTTAGGTGTATAGTTCTGTGGCATCATGTGCATTCACACTGTTGTGCTACCATCACCACCATCCATCTTCAGAACCTTTTCATCTTCCCAAACTGAAACTCTACCCATAAAAACACTAACTTCCCATTTCTCCCAGTAACCTTATTTTTAAAAGTTCATTAGCTGAGTCAGAATCTGTTTTCAGTTATTTCATATGTGTTTCCTGGAATGGGGTGTATATCCTTTTGATTTGTGGCCCTCACAACAACTTGATTTTAGCCATGTATGACCTATTTTCAGACTTTTGACCTCCAGAAATGTAAGATAATAAATTTGTGATGTTTTAGCCGCTAAGTTTGTGGTAATTTGTTATAGCAGTGACAAGGAAGTAAGATGTTTGTTTCATACAAGTTTATATAGAATAGTCCTGATGTAAGGCTCTTTTGTGGGTAGTCTTTGCAGCCCATGTAGAACCTCCTACATCTTTAATGTGGCACCTGGTGCTCTCCAGCTTTGCCTCTTGTCTCTTAGCACAGAATAGTAGCTAAATCCAAGGACTCGGGAGCTGTATGCCTGGATTTGAGTCCTGGCTTAGCTCCTTATATACTATGTGATTTTTATTGTGTGCCTCAGTTTTCTCATGTGTACAATGAAGGTGATACCAGCATCCACCCTGGAGATCAATGTCAACTCCATCTTGTAGGATTGTTGGGTGGATGAAATCAGCTAATCCATGTCCATAACTTAGGACATTGCAGGACAAGGAATCTACAACTCTGAGCTCTCATAATGACTAAATGAAGTGTTCCTCTTTTACAGAGGAGTGAATTTGAAAGGTAGGTTTAAGTGACATGCACAATTGCATGGCTAGTAAGTGGCATAACTGGGATTTCAATCCATGGCTTTCTGTCTCTGAAGCCTATGCTCTTTCTTTTAGCATGATGCTGCCTTCCTACAGGAAGATGGGACTGTCCCTTAGAGAGCTTACGATCTAGTTAGGGAGCCAAGGCTACCTCACTAAACCGATTAGAAAGTAATACAAGATAGCCAGTTATTAAATTAAATATAACTAGGTATTTAGAGAAGGGTGATGTCAGTGGGACAGAGTAGTGCTGGTTATTATTACTTTTAGAAAATCTTTATTGAGCATCCAACCATTTGGAGCCACTGGGCCTTGGGGATTAAAAGTTAGACATTATCTCTGCCTTCAAGGAGCTAACAGTGAGGATGGTAAAAGCTTTGTTGAGGAGGTTGGACTTTGAACTTGATCTTAAAAGGTAGGTAGTTTTTAGATAGCAGAGAAGAGTAAGGAGGAGTTTCCAGATTGAGAAAATACAAATAAAGTGTATGTGGTACTAAGCTGGGTCAGTACTAGGCTTAGCTGTTCATAACAGAAAACCCCAAGCTAACAGTGGCTTAAAATAGAGAACATAGAGATTTATTTCTGTCTTGTGTTAAAGAAGTCTGGAAGTAGCCAGGTCTGGGCAGTTACAGCAACTCCATGGTTTTATGGGAATTCAGGCTCCTTTCAGCCACCTGCTCAGCTGTTCTTAGGATGTGGCTCTCATTCTCATCCAAGATGATGCTGAAGCTTTGGCCATATGTGCCGGTCAGGATGCTGGCAAGAAAATGGAAACAATATTAGGTATTTCAACATAGAGAATTTAATGTAGGGAATTGGGTACTCAGAGTTGAATCCGATGACTTTAGGGTATATTTTCATCTGAAAGTCCCAATAACCAGTTAGTGTTACAAGTTTTTTGAAAAGGCTGTTAGAATTGGTTGACAAATTTTACTCACACTGGCGTAGAAGGGATAGATCTTAGAACCACATGTCAAGTGGAAAGCCTTGGAGGAGAACGTTTAAATATTGCCTTAAGATTTTAGCCTGGTAATTATGGGAATATGATAGAAATTTTGGATTCTAGAAAAATGAGATGGCAAGGATGCATCCGGGATTCCCCCCATTCCCAGTGTTGAGGAGATTTCTCTTTGGTCCTTGTTCTCTAGAGGCAAATGCCATGTGAAGGTGCACACAGGCAGTGTAAAATAAAAAATTATTATTATTATTATTTTTTGAGACAGAGTCTCTCTCCTGTTGCCCAGGCTAGAGTGCTGTGGCATCAGCTTAGCTCACAGCAACCTCAAACTCCTGGGCTCAGGCGATCCTTCTGCCTCAGCCTCCCGAGTAGCTGGGACTACAGGCATGCACCACCATGCCCGGCTCATTTTTCTATATATATTTTTAGTTTGCCAGTTAATTTCTATTTATAGTAGAGATGGGGTCTCTTGCTCAGGCTGGTTTCTCACTCCTGACCTTGAGTGATTCACCCACCTTGGCGTCCCAGAGTGCTAGGATTAAAGGCGTGAGCCACCGCACCTGGCCAAAAAAATTTTTTTTTAAAAATTCGTCCCCAACTCTACTTTAGAAAAAATAGATTGGGAATGTGTCTGTTTTTAATGTTACTCATGGAATTAATCTGAAAACTGTGGAGTTAATAAAAAATTTATGTTCCAAGTATCCTGAGAGAAGAAATCAAGACTTAAGATGAGAATAATTATTATATAACTCTGACTTTTTGTCTGTACTTATCCAAGAAGAGTGATTTAGCTTACCTTCAAAGTATAGGTACTTAGTGTCCTCTTCTTTCTGACAGAGGTGGCCTCAGTAACATGTTGTTCCAGTGCTCCTTACCTGATACCACAGCCACGGTTGGCGACGAACCTCGGAAAGTGCTCCTGCGGCTATACGGGGCAATTTTACAGATGGTGAGTTCATAGGCTGCTTGGGGAGGGGGGAAGTCTGTTAACATTTTTAACCTTTCCTAAGATACCTGGAAAGAGATTTTAAATACCTTAGTGGTGTTACTAAAGATATTTAAATATATTGCATTTACTTTAACTATACAACTTGGTTTATTGTTTATATTCTAAGTTAATTGCTGTTTTTACTTCTTAATTTAGTATTAAAACTAGTACAAGTTTTTCTAGTTTTACATCTAGAGAAGGTATAATGTTGTTTAAATCTTTAGTAGTGTTTGATGATTCTTGGGTTTTCTATGCATTTAAATTTTCAGCTTAGATTTAGATTGTAAAGTTCTAATGTGGAGAAGGTATTGTTTTATAGTATAATCAGAAAGATTTTAGAGGGTAGTCCCAGTTAATAAAGTATGATCTCATTGAAGCTGAATTTAATAACTACTTCTCTGAAATTTCTTTGAAACTGAATTTGTTAGATTCATAATCTTTTTAAATTTTTATATCACTTAAATAATCTAATTTAATTTTCATTTAAAGTACCTTATTTGTTGAATTATCCAATTATAGGATATCCCAAATGTCTGAGTTTTTTGTTTATTTTTTACTATTTATGTCATTAATTTGCCATTTCATTGACCACATGTAGAAATATCAGACTGATTTATTTCTGCGGTAGGATTTCATATCCATTTTGATCTTCTTTGGAAGGGCCCATTTCTATCTGCATGAAAGAGAGCAGAGCAGTTTTCTGACTAAAATTTTTAAAAGACCAGTCTGTTTCAGCTCAATCTAAAAAGCAGGTCATGTCCATCTCTATGGTGTTTAATTCTATGTTTAGAAATATTAAAGTTATTAATAAAATTGATAGTCTAGATGTTAATTTGTTAAAAAATAGTCATAAAGTGAAGGAATCCTTTCATTGGATAGTTTTTCCTTGACTATGTCAAGCTGTAAAAATGTTTGAGATCTAAAAATGCTGGGAATGAGTTAGCATGTTTGGAAGTACATATGTATTCCACACATGTGTGCACTTTGCCTAGGACATCTGAGGTCGCTTTGTGATTAGGTACATACAGCTGGCATACAGCTAGGACCACAGTTGAGTCTAACTGAAAATACTGATCCCTTGCTGATAATACACAAGCAGAAAAGATTCTTGTGTTTACCATGCAGTTTGTTTTTTTATTTAATCAAGTTGCAGTTTCAAAGTACAGTTTTTGAAATATTCAATTAATGTCCTTTTGGCACTTCTACTGAAGTGCAAAAGTAACGTCTTTTTAGGGACTTTTGTTTGTTTGAGGACTATTTACCAAGTAAGTCCTATTTCTGCTCTTTCGTTTTTGTGTGTTTTGCATTTAAGCAATACTTTTATTTTTATTGTTACTAATTTTTTTTTTTTGAGATGGGGTCTTGCTATGTTTCCTGGGCTGGTCTTCAACTCCCAGGCACAAGCGATCCTCCTGCCTCAGCCTCCCGAGTAGCTGGGACTACAGGCGTGTGCCACTGTACTGACTAAGCGATACTTTTAAGATACTTTAATAAATAGCTGCTGAAATTACATGTGACATAAGACTTTTGTTTAAATCTGATTTATGAGGCTTTTGTTTCTATTTATTACTTAAATAGAAGCATTTTAAATGTGCACAATATGCTTGAGGCACTAGACTAAAATAGGAGTCAAGTTCTGTGCCCTAGAGCAGCACTGCAGTGATAGAAGTAATGGAATGTTCCACATCTGTGCTGCTAGTACACTTGTTACCAGCCATGTGTGACTATTGAGCACTTGAAATGTGGTGAGTGTGACTGATGAACTGAATTTTAAATTTTATTTAATTTTAATTAAAATAGTCACATGTAGCTAGCTGGTGGCTACTATATTAGACAGCCCAGCTCTGGGATGTACCTTGTGGCTATTTGACTAACACTAAAAGCCAGCTGCAATACAGCCTGTGACTTGGCAGTTAGCCTTTCCTCTAATAAAGATTCACTGTCAATTGTTACTCTTTTGTCCTTTTTGAAATTTTGGCAGTCTGGAAGTATTACCTTACAGTAACTGAGTATAATAGAAATGTCTAGAAATAAGATTTGTTTAAAATTCTATGTCCTTATTATTATTTTTCTTTTGGTAACACTGGTACCAATTTATTTCTAAGGAAAAAAAAAAGATTATTGGGTAACTCAGAGAAATAAAAGGCAGAATAATTGAAGCCACTTAACATGTAATTAACTCTTTACCAAACTAATATAATGGAGTATATTTTATATATAATTCTAAATTGAAGAGGGGAGGTACTCTACATTTAGCTTCTCAATTATATTTTTATTAGACAAATGTTAAATTAGTTTCCATTTCTGAAGATACATATGCTGAAACCATGCTTGAAAGTACCTTGGATATAGAGAGAAATGAGTAGTTTTCTAGTAAGCCACCTCTGACAATCTCACAGTTGGCTTGCTAGACAATAAACTCATTTTTGTTGTAAGAAAGCTTCTCCTTTGCTTCATAAGTGGGAATAATCTATATTTTCAATATAATTAGTTTGTTGAGTTCTTAGTTCAAGTGCACTTTTTTTGTTGGAGTTAAACCATAAGGCCTATAGCCTCAAATTTAAATATTTTTGGTTTCGAAGCTCTGCAGGGTGAAAAGGGACGCTTGTTGCCAGTTAAGAGTTTCAGCTGTTAATGGCCACTGTCGACTGTTGGTCATTGGGGATACTGTGACAGCACGAGGAAGAAAACCAAATTTAGGGAATCTGAGAAATGGCTGTGGTAGGAAAGAAGGAAAGTGGAGAGAATGCTAAGGTGCTCACCGTGTGAGCTAGCAATGTGTTCTATAACACTGTGCCAGGGATTCATCATGAATTTAAGTTCCTTTTCAAATGTTTTCAACCCAGCTTTAAAATTTCTATTTTTTATTTTTTGTTGGAGCCTGAGTGCAATGAAATTGCTGATTTATGGTCAACTCTTTAGAATGAGTCTGGCCTATAATGGAAGAGATGTTTAAAGTCTACAGTGAAGCTTTTGTTCTCATCACAACAGAAAAATTGCCAGAATTGATAGTAAATTGTCAAGGTTTACATTAATTAAAAGATGTGGCTGAACAAATACAGAGCCCTAAATAATAGATCATATTATTTTCATAAATTTATGGGTTAAAAACAGAATTAAATATAGGATAATTCAGATTTTCTGCTTTCCTTCTTTTTAACTCTACCTCCTGTGAAAGCACACATACATCCTATAGATGTATATGTATTTATACAAATATAACTGGTGTCTCCTAAATCATTTCTATAAATGCAATTATAATATCCTTTGAGGTGGGTTATAATTCACTCCTTCCTTAAAAATGTTAATTGAAGACTACCACCACAAATGATAGGCCTATGTATTTTCTCATAATATTTTGCTGTTTTGCTTAATTATATGACAGATCAATTTAATATGCCCCTTCTTTCCCTTTCCCCTTCTAGTTTTAAGCTTTTGAACTTTTTACCTCTGAGAGAATCAAATATTAAGTAGAAATATTTCATGCATTCTTTGATCAGGAAATGATTTTTCTTTATGTTGGTGTTATGAGATATCTAATTTCCTTTATTTCCATAGTGACAATGAAATGACTGCTTTTTGGTGCAGTTCTCTAAGGGTTAAGTGCCAGAAAGCCAAGGTAAAACTTTCAGATTGGGTTAAGGCCCACAGTTTCTGTCCCACAAACGTCTGTCTCTTCTAGCCCCTATTTCTATATAAGATGAGGCATAAGCTAACTTTCTAACTGTATCCTGGAGGTTTTGTTTAGTATTTGTGTTAGTTTTAGGGGGCTTATGAAAAGTCCTGTTTTTGAAGTCTTGTTTATGGAAAGGGCAAGAATGGGTCCTTTTGAAAATATGAACAAGATAAGACACTGCTGTAAGATACTACTTGTAGGAAATTATTTATTTTTTAAGGACACCTCAAGATCATTGAGTATGTAGGAAATTATTAAATATAAAAACACTGATCTGATCTTAACGTAATACATGTTGATATAATTTATTGTCTGTTTCCCATAAACTAGCTTTAATTTTAATGAGTTGGAGATTATTTTTATTAGCGGCATAGATGATGAAAACCAAACTCTGCTGTAAAATTTACCATAGTTTAATAGAAGTTTTGAGAAGTAATAGTTCAGTCTGGTTAGAAAGAGATACAATTGCTAGAAGAGAGCTTAAAACTATAAACTTAGCATATCAATGTAACTTGATTTTTTTCCTTTCTGATACTGGGAAGGAACATGAGCTCTGCAACGACCAGTAGCAGCCTTTTCAAAGAAGCAAGTTTGGCTGATTACAAATAACCAGTTTGCTTATTTATCATGAATTGTGGAAGACACAAATGTCAGTACGTATTGTTCATTCAATGTAACCTGTGCCAGTTGGCGGAAGTCTCAGAGGATTGCTTTGTCCCTTCCTCTGTCAGAACAGTGACTCTGTGTTAAGCCAATTCCTTCTGTGCATGAATGGAGAGATTGGCCTCACCGTTATGAACGGTCTCACAGGCATGAATGTTTATAATACACATCAAAGATCTCTCTTGAGTGTTGTCTGGAAAAATGTTTTGTTTGTTTTTTGAGTAATAGAAGGCTAATATTAGTGCTTGTTTGAGTACTAACCATAATAAAATTAAAGGCATCAAGGCACAACGCAGATATGTATTAGGAATTCAAAAGAGTAAAATTTGGGACACCATCCTTTTTGAATCTAGAGAACAAAATGTCCTTTTCCCTATTTTCTCTTAGCCCCAGTTTAATTAAAAATTAAAACTCAATTAAGTAGGGAACAGCACATAGATAGTTAATATTAAACTGTTGGCTACCGAGAAATCAGCTGCTTAAAAGTATTTATTTATGGAGTTAAGGTCACATCTACTGTACAAAGACAGTATTACTGATGCTCCTTGATGGAGAGCCATGTCCAGGTTAGTAAATACTGCGAATTATCTTTTTTTCCCCTCATTTTATTAGGGTCATTATG